TTCCATTCAAAAATAACTTAAAAAAGTAAGTGATGACTATTTTATGCTAATTTTAAACCTCTAAAATTAGGCTCATCCTGTCACGGTCCCTTTAATGCCGAATTTCCCCGAATTCGTACCTAATCATATGGAGTCTCTGAGCGTCCCCTTAAAAATTACCGTAACCCTCCCTCCCTAATTCGAGTTATCCTAATCCGTACCTTTCCCCTGACGTCCATATTGTCGCGCGGAAAATAATAATTTTCAACCCGATTGGACCATTTCATCCAACACGTGACCTTCTCAAAAATTATATTTTCTCTTTAGATGCGAGAAGTCTTCCCCTCGATTTGAATTCCGCTTCAATCCTCCATTAAATCCTCTATATCCACCCCTAACCCCCGAATTTCCGGTTGGCTCCTCCTGACGTACTGTGGGTTGCGTTCCGTACTTGTACCTCGAATCCGAGCCTGATCTCGATTCTGAGGGGGTAAATCGCTAGACTGGATGCCAGTTTAGGGATTACGGTAGTGAAACTGGGTTTTAAAGGGACTGTGAAGCCAAAAACCGGCTGGGAGGATTCAGAAATCTTAGACACGATTGGGTGGAATTCCGAAAGAGTTCCGGTTTAAATTTCGGGTTTAACAAGTTAAATCGCTAAATTGCATGCCATTTTAAGGAAAACTCATTTTTCCGCAATAAATCACACGCTTTTCCGGAATCAAACCGGCTTAAACCGATTTAACAGGCTAACCCACTCAATTGGGCGTCATATTAACAGTTGCTGGCAAAAAGAATCGCTTTTAAAGGGACTATGACGCCAAAGATCTACCTCAAACGTTCTGTTTTGTTTTGGTGCAGTTTGGTCGTTGTCTGCCGTCTAAGATGCACTCAAAATGATTTTAGCTCGCAGTTATCATAATTCATCGGCTTAAGTTGCTTTCAAAGTACCCAATTCCCAACTGGGGAGGCGAGAGAGAGAGAGAGAGAGAGAGAGAGAAAGGGTCCCTGAATTTCCGTAATTACCCAGTTATGGACCAATTGCCTTCGGAGAATCTATTTCCCCCCGTTGTTCCTCTAGATATTCCCTCAATTGTCCTTTTTGCATTCCAGCTATTCCTTTCCATTCCTATGTACATCATCGCCTCCCAATTCCCCAAAATGACCATTTCATTACTCCGAATCTTCCCCAAATACCGCCAATTTCTTTCTTTTGCGAATCATTCAAAAGTAATAATTATATAGCGAGGGAGGGTGAGGGGTGTACTTTTGGGAAAATAGCTAAGAAAAATACGTGTGGTTAGTCGATGAGCACGACATAAATACAAGATTCTTATAACAAAAAGGGATTGTTTAAAATTTCACATTTTTTGAAATTGATGAATTTTTAGAATTTGGCTTTTCTTATTTTCGTCTTTTTTTAATTCAAATTGCAACGCGAATTGGTCTGAAATATGCTAACTGACTTAACAATTAACAAAATACAGTAATCTGCTTGAAAAATATAATAAATAAATACGGCAAAATATTTTTAATGGGATTTTTCACGCCTTTCATTTTTTAACTAAATTTATTTCTTTGCGGTTTCTCTCAGGGTCTATTTTTTGATACTACCCTGCTTACAGTATCCCAAATTTTCGAGGATCTCCTAGCTTTTTTGCAAATTTCGATTTTTTGGCCTTTTGGTTGATTTTTGACTGCCAGAATGGTGATGTTGATCAATTAGCCAAAGAACCGATTCGCACTGAACGTTTTAGTGTAGTTTTTCCCCTATCTGTTACAATCAAAAGCAAAGAAAAGCCATTTAATCCCCCTCATTATTCTCTGCTTCTCTCTCTCTCCTCTCTCTCTCTCTCTCTTCTCTCTCTCCCTCGCTCATTTCTGGATTTTGTGTTCCAACCTACTAGGTGTCCAAAAGCTCAAAAATTCGTGCCATTCACTCGGGGGAATCTGATCCAGTGTACCAAATACACCTTTGGACGGCAGCTGAGCGAATAGGGGATTGTACCTTTTGGAACGAATCAAAAGGCGATTTCTGATCCGGGGGGGGGGAACGGCGCAAAAAATACGGTCACTTTTAAAGGTCCGAAAAAGCAGGATTTGACCGATTTAGCTAGCGTAATCGGTTCTCCAGATGTCAGTTCGCTGATTTACCTATCGTAATCATTTCTCGAACTGCCAGTTGAACTAAACTGACACGAATTTTGAAATTTTTGGTACTTGGCAAGCTGCCAGGACTTTGAAATTGACGATTTAGACCGGTGTAGCTAGCGTAATCGATTCCCTGACCAGCAGTTTGCTAATATAACTATCGTAATCGATTCTCTAACTGTTAGATTCGCTAAACTGATACAAATTTCGACAGCTTTAGCACTTGGCAAGATGCCAAAACGCATAATATTCAATTTTTCGGTTCATTGACGGCCAAAAAGCCCATTCCACTAATCTGACCGTGTGGCTTGTTAGAGTTTGTGTTCCCCGGAAAAGTCATAGAGAAAGGGGAAATATTTATGCGTACCAAATGATTCTCAGGATAACAGAAGAGCCTTTAGCCTCGAGGGGGGCACGTATTTTGAATGGAAACGGGATGGGGAGTTCTAGGGAAAAGCGGATCTTCTCTTTCTAGCCTCCACCCTCGCTTTTCTATTATCAGGGGGGAGGATAAGCCGATTTTGAATATTCTCTCTCTCTCTCTCTCTCTCTCTCTCTCTCTCTCATTCTAATCCCTTTTCTGCATAAATGAGGATTAGCCGGGCCACATTTTTCCGGTCCAATTTGATGAGACACCTACTTTTGAGGGGAACGCCGGAAATTAAAAAAATTATATATGGATTTTGGGGTACTCTGGGTCGAATTTTATGGAATCGACGGCAACCAGCAGAGATTCGTTGACTTTAAAGGGATGGCAACAGCCAGAAATTTCCGGAAAAATCGGATAAAACGTCAACGAGCAGCGATTTTTGTGGTCAACGGGAGCGTGAATCAGAGAAAAATAAGAGCTGATTCCGCTAAAAATAAATTTTTCTGTATTTTCAGGATACTGTAGCCGATTCTGGAACGAGAAATGGGTAGCTAGCAGAGATTTCTAGAGATTAAAGGGATTGTGACAGGCTCGGGGAGAGAGAGAGACAGAGAGAAAGACAGATAACAATTTAATACCGTAACCATATCCCAATTTAGCCCAGCTGTCACGCTCCCTTTAAAAATACCGTAACCCAGATGGCGCCGTAAGAAAGGAAAAAACGGCACTCTGCCGGGAGACGTGCGAAAAATGGGGAGCGACAAGTACTGGGAGGAGGTGAAGGGATTCTTCGTGATCGCCAGCTCTCTCTTCTGAGCTCATCCTCACTATTCCAAGAATTCCGCTCGGCTCCACTTGACTTTAATATTTTCTCGTACCAAAAACCCTTTTAATCCGTGGTAGATTCCAGGTACCAATACCACGTTTCGGTCTCTCTTTTTTGGCCTCTTTCCACGATGACTCCTCTCCAGACCCCCTCAAAAACCTCTAATTCGAATATTCTTGGAACCAATTTCTCACTCGCTCTCTCTCTCTCTCGCTCACTCTCTCTCCCCCTCACTCTCTCATTTGAGAAATCCCTAAATTCTTGCCATCTAGGGCTTATCTCTGCCCACCAGACTATCGGAATATCCAGCACCCCAAAGGGTGGGCGACCAATTTTTCATTTCCTGGAGTAAAAACGCGCACAAAATGGAAGAAGTCCGCCCGGGATTCCCGGGAATTTTGGCTCAAAGAGGCATCGAAAAATGATGACAACACTACGTGCGAATACAGATGACAAATAAACAGCCAGGCCAAAAGATACCAAAATTAATGAGAAATCTATATTTTTTACGACTTTCACCAAATTACTTTTTGAAATGTCACCTAATTGTCCTTAATATGCTAAAATCGATATTTATAGCTTTTTCGGTTATTTTGAAAATCGCCACAATTCCTTAAATTTCACGTTTTTCGGTTCTTCAGAATTTTTGCTTTGTTGCTCTGATTCCGGTTTTCAATGTCAAAAATATACATACAAAAATTCTCCAAAAATGCCTTCAATAGCGGGCTAACTAAAAATCAATTTAAAATTCGAAATAATTCAATTTTTTGACGGAAAAATCCGCGATTTTGCAGAATTTTGCGTGCATTGTACTCGATCGTATTTTTCGATGCGCTGATCTTCGCCGTACTCCAAAAATACCCTAGAATGCAATATCTCAACCAATTCACCCCCAAATCTCCGAATCCTTAGAAATGCACCGTAATCACGCGTTTTCCACGGGTTAATATTCGAATTGGATGGCAATTCGCAAAATCCGAGAGCCGAGAAAATCCGAGGGCCCGGTTTTTGACGAGAAAAATGACATCCAGATGACCTGGATTTTCTGGGTTCTCGGAAATCCTGAAAAATCATCAAAACAGATCATTTTCCCTGAAAAACCGGGTCAAAAGTGGGTATATTAGTTTCTGGAAAGACCCGCTGGTGCTACCGGGAATCCCCTACCGTAATCCCTCATCACGGAAAATTATGGAATATTTGGATGACCTGGAAAATCGGGGGTTCAAAAATGAGCTGGGGACCTGGAAAACCCTAAAAAATTGCCCCGTTACAGTATGAAAAAATAAGAAAATAAAATATACAATCAATAGACATTTTGGGAATTAAAATATACAAGTTTATTTTTTTATCAAAATTTCAAAAAAAATAAATTTTTTTTAAATTCAAATTTTCGGAAGGTTTTTGACTGTAAATTGTCATTTTTAACTTTTCAAAAGTTGCATAAATCGTGATTAAAACAGATATTTAATTATTAAATTTAATACCCATAATGCGGAAATTTTAAAGGGACAGTGACATCCTGATCTCAGGATTTTTTTACTGTCACACCCCCTTTAAAGCTGAAAATCCAATTTGTTCTAATTTTTAATGTATATTTTTTGTATTTTTGCATCATAAATCGAAATAAATGCTTTATTACAGTACCAATAAAACGCAAAAATCGTGCATTTTCTACCACCACCAATATTCCTGTTTTCCGGCGTTTGCCGCACCGGCTTTCGGCTCCGTATTTCCTAAAAAAGCTCATTTAATTTTTGATATATTTTTAAACTGTCAGAAATTAAAGATTTTGGATAGAAAAGGGGACAGAAAATGAAAATAAATAAATTGCGATCCATTTCGAAATTACCGTATGCCGTATCGGTCGAATAATCGGGCATTGCTACAGGGAAATAGGGGCGGGTTACGATAGTCGGCAATATTTAATTTTATTGAAATTTATACGGATTATAAACCGGGATTACGGTATCAAAATTGATTTTTTCAAGTTTAAAAATTAGCATTTTTACATTTTTTTTTATTATTTTCTTCGTGTAGTACTCTGACTTGTCGGCTATTACTAGCTTATTTGGGTTTTTAGGACCGTATTACCGGATTTTAAGAATTTTATAACTTAAAAATTAGAAATTTCCAAATTTCGAAAAATGAATTTTTAGCATTTTCAAATTTCTCAATTTTTTTACTGTAGCTTGGTATCTAAGCCATGATTTGGCTTTTCGGGCTACAGTAATCTCCAGAAATACCTGACGGGGCAGCGGGTTCTGTAACGGTTTCTTTCTCAGGGGCCGGGGTTGGTTGGGGGGCGGCTGCTGCCGAATCTTTCGGCTTTTCCATGACACCTGAAAGTAACGGGGGTATTGTAGTCGGGGTACGGTAGATTGGCAGCCAGATAGAGTAATTAAGGAAAAATAAACTCGTAATACAGCGAAAAAAATAAAATTTAACGGTTTTTATAGGTTTTAGAACTTAATTTTTTTCAAAAAATAATTTTTCAACAAATCTTCTTGAAAAATCTCTAGCACCAATAATTTAAAAAAACCAACCTTCACAATGTCCACAACTTCCGGGCATTCCCTGATCGCCTTTCGGTCCCTGGGGTCCGGCCAGTCCGGCTTCTCCCGAATCTCCTCTGCAAACTTTTCCGGTTAGTAGAAAAAAATCGAAAATTTAGTCGTTTTAAAGATTTGCAAAACAAGCGAAATTTCTGAAAAACACTAAATATTCAAATTGGTTTAAAAAATGCTTCTAAAAATTAGCGTTTTTCAAAGTATCCATGTAACCACCGTACCTGTCTCCCACAGCCCCTCTAATGCCTCCCATTCCAGCCAATCCGGGTTTCCCATCAATTCCCCTGCCTCCAGCCGGGCCTCGGGGGCCCATTTTTCCGGCCGGGCCGGCTGGGCCTGAAACAAATATATTATTGATTTTTTGCACCTAATTCATACTAAATTGTCGGTTTTAACGCTTTTTAAACGCAAAAAAATGATCCAAAAATCACCGGTAGCGCGTAAAGGGCGACCCAAAAACCGATTACGGCAGGTCTCTATCATACTTTCCAACGCCTTTAAAAGAAAGCCCACCTGGCGGGGCACCATTGAGGACCTTTCCCCTGTCTCCTCTCGGTCCCTTCGGACCGGGTGGACCCGGATTGCCTCGTACTCCCGGGGGTCCGGGTGGGCCTGGACGGTTGTTCTCGCCGTTACGGCCCGATTTGCCCGGATGGCCAGGCTGGCCACGATCTCCCTGAAAAAGAGATAGTATATTTGGAGAGAGAGAGGGACAGAGAGAGAGAGAGAGTGAGAGAGAGTCAGAGAGAAACATACCTTATTTCCAGGCATTCCAGGTGGTCCAGGAGGTCCAGGCGGACACTTCTGACAAGCCCTCTCCTCGGCTGGTGGAGCGGGAAGATAATTCCCAGAATGTCCATCCCTTCCCGGATCTCCCGGCTCGCCGTCACCACCTGCAAATTCGTACTGACTTTTAGGCCCCCAAAATTCCCAAAAATTCCCCGCTAGCTAGCGTAACGTTTCCGCAATATCTAGCTTTTCCTGAAGAAACGCTGCTAGCCCTTTGATGAAAATTACCTGAAAATCGTCTAAAAATGCTCAAAATTCTCTAATCAAATCATTGCTAGATGCTCTAGCTATATAAAAAATTCCTTAAAAATCGCCGCTAGCTTGCCCCTGGTTTTGCCTTAGCAGTTGCTTACCAGGCTGTCCATCCTTTCCAGAATTTCCGCGTGGTCCAGGTGGTCCCTGTGTACAGGCACAACATGCTCCATTCCCTCGTGCTCCATACGAATATTGACGGCCGGATGAGGGGCCAGCTTGGCGGGCAGAACGAGCACGAGCTCCCGGAATCACCGTCATTTGCTTCCAAATATCACGCGATTCCATCTGTAATAAAATATTGGATTTGTTTTACCTAAAATTAAATCTAACTGATTGATTTTTATTTATTTGAAACTAACGATATATCTACCCATATTTTTTACTATTTTATTATAAGCCAATATTTTTGTATATAAAAAGTAGCATTTAATAAGCCATTTATTTTTCTACTTAGATTTAAACTTAAATCAATTGAAATGAAATAATGACATTTTTCAATGAAAAATAATGAAGCGTTTTCAAAAATTTGCAAAATTACAAAAATTAACTTGCACAATTTTAGGCGCTTTTTTACGAAAAACGGTGGTTTTGAATAATTTTTCAGCCGATTTTTGTAAACTAGAAATTAAAAGAATGTTGATTTCCACTATTTCCAAGCCGTACCTTGCACAAATCGACCTGGGCGATCATGTCGGCTGTTTGGCGTTGAATGGACGAGTGTAGGATGGGCAGCCAGATGATGAGGGCAAGCAGGGAGATTGTCGACAACACTGTCGACACCATCACCGAACATTTTGAACCCGGGATGCGGTCCATCGCCTGAAAAAAGTTTTGTAAATTAAAGTAGGTAAATTTAAATGCGTAAATGAACGAGAGGAAACGAAAACAACAGATTTTTACGAC